AGCCGCACTGTAGCACTTTTTCTTGGGCACATCTTTGAATTGCCATCACCTTTGTGGTCCAACATGACTGCGCTTCTCACTTTGGCCCATGGTCTTTGGGATTTTTGTGTGTGTTTGTGTAACCCACACACATGGGCTATGTCTACACTGGCAGGTCGTTGCACCAGAAGTATGCAAATGAGGCTAAGCGTGGAATATCGCGGAGCCTCATTTGCATACCTAATGAGCCGCCATTTTGCGGAAGAGGCTCTTGCGCCAGAAGGAGCTGTCTACACTGCCCCTTCTTGCACAAGAAAAACCCTCTTGCGCAATGCCGTTATTCCTGAAAATAATCAGTGTAGCAGCATTGCGCAAGAGGGATTTTCTTACGCAAGAAGGGGCAGTGTAAACAGCTCCTTCTAGCGCAAGAGCCTCTTCCACAAAAATGGCATCTCATTAGGTATGCAAATGAGGCTCGGCGATTTCCATGCTTAGCCTCATTTGCATACTTCTGGCGCAAGATCGCGCCAGTGTAGACATAGCCCTAGTGTGGTTACTGAGCAATGCAAGTGGCACCTAGACCGCAGCAACGGTTAAGATCAAGAGACCTCTACAGCATGGGCTAGGAGCCAGCCGGCTTTTAGCTCAGAGGGTAGAGGCTCCTATAGTCAGCTCCTGCGGTCCCACGTTCAAATCCACTTGGTGGCAGTTGCATTTGCATGGAATGTCTGATAATTACCACAGAGTCCCAGATCTGCACAATTGCTGGTAGCTGAGAGTCCTCAGCGATTTGGTTGTTTAATAGGCTCATGTGGTTGCTTTTAAATTTACTTCTTTTTTGTTTTTGATAAACACAGAAACCAATTTGTAAGAGAACCAGTTATTGATGGATACGCGGCTCGGACAAACGTAGGAGTGTGGTGTAAAGTAGATCAGTTTCTTAGCAGATAAACAAATAGTTAAAAGGCTCTGGAGAAAAAATCTTTTGTCCATTAAAGTGCTAGGAATTAAATATATACTGCATGTTGTATTGGATGAAACAAAGGGACAGAAAGATCCTATCACTTTAATAGATGGAATACAATCTCTTTACCGCCATCAGATGGCTGGTAAGTCCTGGCAGATAAGTTCCATCCTCCTTCATCAACTGGCTGCTGAGTCTTTTGTGAAAACGAGTCAAATCTGAAACTTTTTTTGTGGCCTGGGGCCTCATCTTGCTCATCGTTTCCCATTTAATCTACTGGCCGAGCACTTTGCAAGAGACACTCAGCCCCTGGGAGAATCAATCCCCCAGTGTGCAGCTGTGACAGTATTTTGCAGTCTCCTAGGGCAATCTTACTGCATTGAGTTTAAGCAGCTTTGGGGTCCATTGTTTTAAATCATGGGTGGGGAACTGAAGGCCCGGGGGCCGGATGCGGCCCCTGGCATGCCTGGATCTGGCCCACGAGGTTCAGGTCCCCCCGCCCCCTCAAGTATTGGGGAGCCCATGCTGGCACTACAGCCCCATTGCCACCCCATTGAAGAGCTGGAGAACTCCTCTTGGCTCCTGTGTACAAGAGGAATGTGGGGAGTGTCTTTCTCCTCAGTCAGGGACCACGTTAGTAGTGGGGGGGTTAGGGTTGGGTTTTTTGTGTTGCTTGGGTTTTTTTTTTGCTTCTCACTTCTGCTGATTTTTCTGTGGGTCAGCAGCCCCCGACCCCAAAAAAGGTTCCCCACCGCTGTTTTAAATGGTTTATGGATTCTTGTAAGCTGGGATAGTATGTAACCTCTGGGGGTGGGGGGAGAATGTGTGACATGGGAGACAAGAAAGTCAAAGGACTATATTGAACAATGTGCCACCACATCATGGACTCTTGGAACAAAAAGTATCAAGTGGTTTTCCTGGGAGCCATCTAGGGGGAGGTGAATGCAAACTCCCCACCTCTCGGTATGCAAAAACCCAGCCAGCCTTTTGAAGCTGTGCCGTGAGGAAGGGCCCTTTGTCACCTGAGGCTGAGATCAAAGGCCCATGCTGGCAAAGGAAAGACTGCCCTGTTTCTCCTTGTTCTGCTTCTGACTGAGACAGGTACAGGAAATAGGGGTGTTTCTCTGCATGCCGGTTCTTTTATAGTTTTAGTGTGCTTCTCTGTGATGATTTCACCTTAACAATAAATGTGTGGCTTAGAAGGAGCTGTGTGTAATGTATTCATGTGGGCAATACACTGGGGGTAGCCTTGGAAGAGAAAGCAAAGTGCAACTATAACTGCTACTGGGCAGATTTGAACCTGGAACCTCTGGAGCTTAGTGTAGGAGCCTCCATAGCTCTGCATGGGACAGTAAACCACACTGGCGGGGTGCGCCTACACAGCAGGGCTTAATTTGAAATAAGCTACACAAATTGAGCTGCATCAATTGCGTAGCTTATTTCAAAATTGGGAGCATCTACACAGCACTTATTTCTAAATAGAACACTCTTCCTCTAACTTCCCTTACTCCTCGTACAATGAGGGTTACAGGAGTTGGAGGAAGAAGTCCTCTAGCTTGACAGTATTTTGACATTATGTCGAAATAACTGCCTGCTGTGTAGACGCGGACTAAGTTATTTCGAAATAACGTTGAGGTGTAGAAAAGTTTGAGGTGTGTGGGTTACACAAACACTGGTCTTTTAAGCAGTCTGGCTTTTTGCTGGAAATACGATGGGAGCTGTGCAGCCTTAAAAGATGTCCTGGAGAGAGGGAGGTGGTCTCGGCACAAGAGAAGGGACAAGTGAGGAGCCGAGAGCCCAGTGTGTGTGTTCTTGGGGAAGTGTGGTGGCAAAATACAGGTGCAGTTGCCTAATCACTGAAAACAGTGTCTACAGGCTGTTTCCACCATCGTTTTTCTACAGTTCACACAACTTTTGCTCTGGGGTCCAGCCACCTTTGCTAATTTCAGGGCAGGTTCATTTCCTGTTATTCTTTTCCCTTCACACGTACATGTGGAGGAACACAAAGGTAGATGAAGAAACTGGCATAGGAAAGAAGAATAGACGCAGTTGGTTTCTTTGGTGCAGTACATGAGTCATGAGTCTTTGCACAGAGCCTTACTGAGAGATACTCAAACTGCTGCATCTCTGACTGATGCTGTTTATGCACTTCAGCCCAAATAACAGTGCCAATGTGGACTTGAAATTGAGATATATAAAAAAAATGATAAATGATGCTTGCTCCACAAATTAGATTGTTTTTACAGAAATACTTGTTGAGCTTGATTGGACTGTGCATAGCAATGAGAATAGTCCTTGCTCGATTATATCAACACTGAAAAAGAGCAGAAACGTGTCTACAAATCTCTGGCCAGGGTATTTGCAGGTGGCAGAAACAGCACTAGTGCTGGCATCTCAGTGTTAGTCACAGCCTAATGGCTGCAAGGATTAGTCAAAGGGGAATTCTGCAATGGTTGCATTTGGAGCCTGGATAAAATTGCAACATTCCCCCAGGATGAAAGTTCTTCCGGCTGCTGAGGTGTGGGGATATTCTTGGGAGACTCTCGAGGCCTAGTCTTGTGTCCTGCCCACAAGACCAGCCTTCCTCTCACCTAGACAAATTTTTAAAAAGCATAATGAGAAGTAGTAATGGGCTAGATAATGCATAGCCCTGCCTCAGTCCTGGAGATTTGACAAGATGGCCTACTGAGGTCCCCTCCAATCCTACATTTCTGATTCCATAAGAATGTTATGGTCGTACATCGTGTTTTTCATCCTCAGAGCTCCAGTGCTTTGAAAGGGTAGGTGACAATTACTGACCCTGTTTTAAATATGAAGAAACTGAGGCATGGAAAGTGGATCTACCTTATTTTTTATGGGCCTGTGGTGGCATATGTACTCCCCATCACTGGTGTGACTATATTACGGGGTGCAGATGCTGCCTCCTAGGCCACAAAACAGCTGGTCATCTCTACAGTCTATGAGTTTTCCCTTGTCTTAGGGTAACCCAGAGTCCATAAGCGGTCCTGCTCGCAGGTCAGAGTGGCCCAATGGCCAGAGTCAATATACACCCCCTTGGTTCAGGGCAGTATGGTTCAGTGGCAGTCGGCCACTCCCTTGGCAGAGAATCCGGCTGAAACACTCCAAGTATACCTGGGTGGGAGAGGTTGCTCCTGCACTCTCCCTGGGTTACTTCCTACCACTTCGGTTGGATCAACGTCCCACATGGTCGCTGGGTCTTCTGGTTCTCCGGCAGCAGTTTCTCCCTGGGACTCCACAGGGGTTGCGTTGCAGCCATCTCCCAGGTCTCCGGTTCCCACTATCGGAATTACTGGCTGCAGCAAGTCAGGAGCTCTGGCTGGAAGTCCTTTCCCTTCACTGGCCAGCCCAGACTGAGCTGCTCTGCTGCCTTTTATACTGCCCCAGCATTTGGAGCATGCCCAGTCTGGGTGAAGGGGTGGGACTTCCTCCACCCACAGGATCTTAGCCCTACCTGCTCCATTGCGGGCTATGCACTCCCCGTCACAGGCCCCTATTGCTGTAGCATGAGCGTGCCTTACCCTCTGAAATGTATTTATTCCCACAACACCTTCATGAGGCAGGGCAATGCTGTCTCTCCTTTTTACAGATGGGGGAACAGAGAGACTAGGAGGCAGGTCTTCTAAGGTATTTAGCGCCTAATTCCGACTGAAATCAAGGATCACACAGAGTGCATGGCACAGCAGGGACTGGAACCCAGTGTCACTACCAAACCGTCCTTCCTTTCTAAAGAGAAGTGGCTTTCTGAACATCACAAGTCCCAGGCAAAGGTCAGAATATAGGCCTAGCTTCTGTCTCTCTAGTTCCATATGTTTCCCATTAGAACACTTCTGCCCTTTATAAGAGTGCTTTTTTTACCCTCCTTTGGCATGGGCACAATGAACTACCCATAGTAGAGCACAAGGGGGAGTCGGACCCATTTTGTTGGCGTGTGTTGTGCTGAGAGGCGGGTCCCTCTGGATAGATGCGCGGTGAGGGGAAATTCTGGGACCGAAGCAGCCTGGTTCCTGCTTGAAGAGGACCCCTGTGAGAAGAGAGCAGCCCCTTTGCAGAGACTGAGTCATCTCTCAACCTGAGGCTCATTCATGGAGTGTGTGAGTGCACCAATTTTTAGTTAGTAAGTCAGGGAATTTGTTTGGGGATTTTATTACCTGCAGCCTATTAAACTGTGGAGGGATTTGCTGCCTTCTCCCATTTGTGAGTCCTTTGGGCTGTACTGGACCTAGTCAGCCCCACTGCTAAACCTCTGCAGAGAAGGATTGTGTGGTCAACAGTCATCAAGGGCCCCAACAAAGTACGCGTACCAACGGGACACTAACTTCACAGTTGCAGGGCACCGGTGACCCTAAAAATAATGTTTTACCCTGTTCTGTTATAATTGTCTCCTGTTTAATATAATTGTGTTTATTATAGTGTATGTGTTTGTGTTATTTTCTGGGAGTCTCCAACTATCTGGCGAATACGTGGGGATTATCCTGGGCTAGAATTTTCCTCCCAAGCTGCCCTGGCAACCCTGCTAGGAAGGAGTGAGGGGGGTGGAGGCACCGCCAAGTACATCAATCAGAAAGAATAAAATTGAGTAGGTGGCGGGATCCAGAAGAACCCAGACCTATCCATCCGAACCTGAAAGGAGATTGGCTCTAAAAGAAGGTAACCAGGTGGAGAGGGGGCGCTACATATAAAACCTGCTGTCATGTATTTGCTGTTTCCGCCATTAACCAAATGATGGTGTTTAAAAACCAATTGTGCTTGGAAGCTTTGCATCAAGGACTTGTGGCATCCATTGTTATTCAAACTGAAGAACAATAGTTCTGCGTAATAGACTTGTGCGCGGAGAGCAAGCGGCCCTACTTAATATATTCATAAAAAAGCTACAGTTGTAGATTTCTCTTTTATATAGGTCAGGCGAGGGCGATCACTGCTGAATCAATGTATCTAACTCCTTGAATGTCCACATTTACAAAGAAGACGTTCCTGCTAAGATTGCTATCAGCTTTTTTTGATTGTGTCTCATCAGAACAAATTCACATAAGGTGAGCTTTTAAAAGTAGTGATTTTCCGCTTCTCTTGACTACACGAGACAGTCAGAAATTAATGAAAAAAGCAGTGCCTGTCTGGCTTATAGGCATCTCAGCCTTATTTCTGCATAAATTCTCCCAGGTCAGCTCGAAAACAGTTCAGGGTCAAAATCTCATCTAGTCACCTAGATTAAAAACTAATTTCTCTAAAGTATATCCTATACTGAAGCTTTTTCATGCAAATAAATAGCCAGGGGCCTCATTCTCTCCTCCTTTATTAGTTGTGCATGTCATGAATTTGAACATAACATTTTGTTCTGTACTCTAATTACATGCATTATAAAGAAAAATCTATTCCTTGCGTACATATCATTAGGAGGAGTTCTGAAGCGCCATTCCATCAGGGTACCCGTCATGGTGGCTCATCCTAATATTGACAGTTTAATCTTTTTGTTTCATACAAGATTAAAAGTCATATGATAGCCGTTCCTCTCTGGAGCGGCTGGCGAAGCCAATCGGAGTCGATCCGTGTCTAAGTGCCATTTCTGCACTGAAAATGGACTGCAGCTTACCAAATATATTGGGTAATTATCAATTGTTATGGAAAAATAATTTTAAAAAATTGTGCTGATGAAAGAGTAAATAAGGCTGCTGTTTAAAAAAAAAAGTTTTACTTACAGCTGTACCGGGGCATATGTATGTGAAATATTATCTTAGTGCTGTCTAATAATATTCATCTAAGCCCAATTGCGAGCTGTTTCAATTTCCTTTGCTTTATCTCATTGCGGAGAAAGAGACTGACACACCAGGTGGTCAGCTACTTTTACAGTAATCAAAGCCTTCTTTTATCCAAAGATCAGCATTATCCCTTCAAAACGATGCTTTCACTTTTAACAGACAGAGCTATAGGTTAGCCTTTCCCTCTTATTTGTTTTCTCTCCAGAAAGAGGTGAAATCATTTCTGATGAGAATAGTGAGCAGCTGCTCTTTGCAATGAAGAGGCCAAGATTTTCAAAAGTTGGCTACTCGTTGTGGAGTTCTATGTCTTGTTGCTCCGCGTGAGACAATTTAAAGGGGGCTGATTTTCAAGGTAATCAAAAATCATCTCCCTTTTCAGGCAGCGCTAATTGGGGACCCGACAGCACTAGCCATTGTCCAGAGTAAATTCTCCTAGGGAATCTTGACTTTAGAAAGGGCCAGAACTGCTCTCGGAGACTTTAATTAGTTGCTGAGCTTTGGTGTGTGAGTCAAAGCAGGGGACCAGAGGGCTCAGGGCAGGGCATGAGGGTGCAGAAGTCAAGGCAGGTGTGTGGTGCAGGACTCAGGACAGGGGGCTGGGAGGTGGTTGGGGGGGGGCTACAGGGGCCACCTCTCCCAGCCAGGCTGGCACTGCTCTGGTGGCAGCTTCTCCCGAGTGGTCAGGGTTACACTCCCCAGATGGTAGCTCCTCCTGGGGGAGGTGATTTGGGGACGCACACTTGTCGGGTAGGGCTGGGGCTCTGTGGGCCGGACCTGGCCTCTGGCTGCTCCCTCCTCCCAGCCTGTAGCCTGTCTGGGGGGGACAGTTCTCTGGGGGCTGTCCCCAGCTTGCAGCTGCTCTGGGGGAATCTTGTTTGGGGCAGCAACCCCCTCCTTCATCCTGCAGCTCATGGCGGGGGGGGCGATGCTCCATGAGCTGGCCCTGGCCTGCAGTTGCCCCCCTGCCCTGCAGCGGGTCAGTAGGGACAAAGCTGCAGGAGCTACCCCCTGCCTCCACTGGCCTCCCTCTCCTGCAGCCTCTGGGGGGGGGGG